GTTGAGTGCTTACAGTTGTGAAAACTCACAACTGTGAAAATAAAATGGTTCAAATCCCATTAGAACGACTTTAAAAAGGCATAATATATATTGCAGGTAATATTTTTATTTTTAAGAAAATAGCACTTTCATGTGGAAAGAGATATCATAAGTTTTGATTTTTCGTTTTTGAATTGTACTCACCAAAGTTATTCTGTTCTAACTCAGCAATACCTGCAGCGAACACAACATAATCTTTAATAAAAGATCTAACAGCCTGAGCTCCAAAAACAATATTAGAGAGGTTTTAGACCACAGATTTGTCTTTAATGTAACAGCATTCTACACCCTGTACAGTACATGCACTGGATCAGCTGAGACACTAGGGGGAGAGAGATTTCTTCTCTTTGGATTTGATAATGGTCATGGCCCAGTGTTAGACATGTCTGCAAACAATCTCACATGCAGGTCTCAGCCTGACACATATCGAAAGACGAAGGACACATTTACCATTACAGAGGTCCTGCACTTTGCTCTCATATTGATGGCCCATCTATTTCACTCCTCTTTATGTTATAAGCACACAAACAGAGTGAGAGGGAAGGAAGCAGAATGGTAAGGTTATAGCTTCACACATCAGATTTTGCCCCTAAACCCATAGTGGTGACATAAAGAACAGAGGGGAAAGCCCAATTCATTGTGTGGGATGTAGTGGTTAGTGAACACTCTCATTTTGCTTTACAAGCCTGGATGGCTGACTATACACAAACTTCAGTCCATGTATGCACTCGGATAAGAGGTTGAATATAGAAAAGTCCTGTTAAAAGCTCCACCTGCCTTAGTAAAACTCATACTATAAAACATTACCATCATTTTTCAGCCTAAATTCAATTTCTCAGCTCCTCACTTTTCCAGAATGTGATTGTGCTCAAATGGACATGTTTACAGGCAGGCTTTAATGGTTCCACTGCTGATGGTTTAATGTATCCTTAGTCATTACTGTACAATTCACTTGAGAGCATCGCAAAGCAGATAGCACTGTGGGGGTTTATTCTCTGCCATCATTCTTACATTCTGTTTCCAGTTACACAACCATTATCCCTACAGTACTGAGCCTGTTTTGTGATGATCTGGGGTTTTTAGCTGACATTCGAGACCCAGGTCCAGATGAGTTCCTTCATTTTTCTTTTTTAAACAATGTTTTATTCCGTTTTCTTTTTTCAAATATACGACTTAAGTGCTTTCACTGCTTTTTATGTTTGAGGGCCATGGATGGTAAATGTCTATAAATGCAAGCCGAGAGAGAGAGAGAGAGAGAGAGAGAGAGAGAGAGAGAGAGAGAGAGAGAGAGAGAGTCATTGTTGCCAGATACATTCCTTTTCCTTATATGGACATATGTTGTTAAAACTTTAAATAGAAAGATGTGACTTTTTCTCAGCCAAAATGAGATCCTACTTAATGTACACTTAATCAAAACATCATCCAAGAATGCAGAATATTGGCTTGTATCCGATATTTATATGTAAGCTGTCTTATTTGCTTTAGCAGCTTTTGCAGCACTTAAGAATGACAACTTAACACTCTACTCATCGCATCCTTAGGTCCTGAGGAATACACTTGCTATGAGTTGTCTCACACACCCAAATGGCAGTTATTGTGAAACACGAGTGCGTAGAAAACACCAACGAAATACACTTAGCAGATGTATTCATTTTAAAATAGGCATATCTTTTGATTGCTTTGACCCAACCACCATATAGCGGGTAATATTAACAAACACAAGTAATGGATGAATCCTTCCAATTACAAAAAAATGAACAATAATTACGATTCGTAAGACAATATCCAGCTGCCAATTGAAGCAGCTGATAATTCTCAAAGAAACACCAAAAACAAAACACATGGTTACACTTCCATTCAAAGTAACCCATGTAGGCACTTCGCAGATCAGACAACTTCACCAAACTATGATTAGGTGAAGATATTGGCCAAGCCCTGTACCATTTGATTAGTGAATGTCAGGCAATTTAGTACTGAGCTTCCATAAAGTTGTAAGAATTGCGAGGGACATACTTTCATTAGTTTTGCAGCCTATGTAAAAAAAGTATGTAGTATTTAAACCCAAGCTGAGACAACCCTGATAAAAACAAAACTGAAAGTATTTATCCTGTGGGGATCCGATTCTACGGTCGTCCATCCAAAATTTGTAGGCCTATTTCTCTCTGGACCAGCATTGGACCGATCAATCAGCAGGGCAGTGCCTAGAACAAGACCACTGGCATGGTTACATGTCGATTGTAAACAGAGGAGCGGGGGGGATTAACAGTGCAGAGAGAGGGAGAAATAGAAATGGTGGAGGAGGGAAAGACAAAGTGAGTGAAAAGAGAAAGGGCGAGAGGGAAAACGAGAGCCCTTCTTCCCTCTCCAACAGGAACCTGTTTTAATAGCAGCAATCAGTCAGTGCTTGAGCTCTGTCTGGGAACACAGAGACAGAGAGGATGGAGGGGAACACAAGACAGATTATAGGAAATATCAGCACGAGCCAGGGCATAAACACAGGAGTCATGTCACAGTTTACTGATGGCAGATGCTCAAACAGCGGATATGAGGGGGTTGCAGCATATAAGATACTTCTCAAAACTGTGTATGATTTATACACTGTAGATAGGCGCTTCATTTGTTGGGGTCGAATCCATAAGTATTTGTCTAAATGCACAGGTTCCATGTGTTGGTTACTGTACTGTATTACATCGGATGTGTAGGTTGCTGATAGACAGCATTACTAAGCATATCTCACACTGATGTAATTAGCATCTGGAGCCTCTGGAGAACACAATACATCATCTACATTCATCTCTAATTTAATTTAACGGCAATAGGGCCGCAGTGTGTTTAACACTATGATGAATAAGCATATAATACCCTGCAGAGGGCAGCAAAGACTTTTGAGAAAACAGCTTCTCTTCTGGAAGTGGAATTGGAAAAAAAATGCTAAATAAATGTTAGACTTTTATGTTTAGCTGCTGTATTTTCTTTTACCTGTATTAGTTATCTATCTATCTATATATCTATATATCCATTTATCTATCTATCCGTCGAGTAAATCCCTCCCATGTGCTTGGAATACCCTGTGGTGAGAGGAGATCCTGCTGTATCTGCATTTTATTTATTTATCATCGTGCCTCGGCTTCTCATTTACATCATCCAGATCTCAATGCAGTGCTGCTCAGTAGGCATGCGGTACCCCTCTGACACCTCCACAAGTCTGGCTGAAGTTCAAATGTCGGTAAATCTCTTATTATAAAAGGGGGTCATAAACACCTAATGGTCTGGCATAAATATTTTAGAGGCCTGGATATCATACAGAAATGACCTCTGCAGAAATCCCACCCTCAACAATGCACATCTCAGACAGACAACCTCAGGGGCCGGTGCAACTCGAGGCCCTTGTTTCTGGTTCTTTTGGCTTTTTTCGTCGTGATTGGATTGATTTGTCATTTGCGACCGAAAGAGCTTGGCCACGGCGCTGTGGATAATCCAATTTATCGCTTTGCCATTTATTACACATTTCTGTGGCTTTTGGGTCCACTGTCACATCGATTCGTTGATTGCTTGCTTAGCTGGGTCCTAATGAGCTGCTGTCTGAATCACTGCATAATCACCGCCCTAATTCACTTCTGCCCTCACACTCGGTCGGCTGGCTCACCACTATTAGAAAAGAATGGACTGAAACACAGCTTTCCGAGCAGACAATTAGTGACATCATCCTCCAAACGGGTGTCATCCTGCGTATATTATTGCCTTTAATAAATGACAATCCTCATGTGGCTCAGTTTATTTTCACACTACTCACTTTTCACAGATTGTGGTTTCAGGTGACAATGAGCTCGTTGGCACATCTTCTGCAGCTCACACACGTGTCAATGTAACACTCATGAACAGAGAGTTCTAAGCAGAGAGGTTGAAATACTGAGATGTTTCACCAGAGTGTCTATGACTGGATTTGTTTGTCTAAATCTTTAGATCTGAAGCTAGAAAAACCCTTTAGATTACAAAAATGAAGTAACAGTTTTAAACTGTATAAACGTAGGGTGCCAATGAAATAATTACTGGGTATTTAGAAGGCACAACAGAAGACGTAGGTAACAAACACAAACACACGAGTTTAGTGGGTTCCAGAAATAGGTTGTACTGTTTGTACTTTTTTCGAATCAAAGCCTGCATACCCAAAGCGTTAACCAAGAAGATGCTTTATTTAACAGCCTCCATACCCTGAAATTAATGTGTGAAAAGGGACAGCAAGTAACCACTCCATGTTACAGCTTGCGTAATGTAATGTAATGTATTATTTACATTTTATCAATCCTTTTTCTTAATTGTGTTGCACTTCAATTAAAAAGTAACTCATGCATGCATTCAAAAAAAATGTGAACATGCAAAACCAAACATGACATTGAGACATTTAAAAGTCGTAACCCTCTTACTCTGTTAATTTTCTTTTCTCCCTTTACTTACATCACATTGCAAGCTGTAATAAAAAGTTACGCAAACTCAATTATGGAACCAATATTTTCATTTCATACACTTTGATGGTTTCAAACATCTGAAGATAGATTAGAGAGCACATGCCACCAGGTGAAGGTTTACCTCTACACCAATATCAGCGTGTCTAGGTGACATTTATCAAGCTTAAAGAGGGGCTTAGGGACCCATCGGGACATGCTTGTGAAGAGGCCGGTGGACAAATATAGGAGGAAGATAATCAAGCCATCTATCAACAGAAGTGCGCCATCTGTGTGCGACACCACTTGTCCTCTGAGCTGTTGTAACACAGCTTTTTCAGTTCAGTTTCCAGTGTACTGATGGATGTACTAAGTAAATAATGGAAACATTGAAATATTGTAGTTAAATAAATGTTACAGCTATTAGCACATACACACTGATCGTCGACAAACAGACATTGCAGAAGAATGGCATCATCCCTTATCATGCTTGATCAGTCACAAATCACAGCCAAATGGTTTTCAGACAACATTTCTTTAATACAAAGTCAACATATCTACATACACAGTGGCTTTAAACCAATTATTGTTTCAGTTAGAAGTAACAGTTTGAAAGTGATAGCTCTTGGCCCTCATAGAAAGGAAAATCTATTTAGCCGAATTTGGGTTATTTTTCATTTTTCGGTATGTACTGTATATGTTCTATTCTTTTTGAAGTCATTTTTTGTTAGTGTTTTTTTTTTTGTTAGTCCCCTCCCCTCCCCCAAATATTCGGTGACATATTCCAGTAAATTTGGCGTCGGTTTTCAAAAGTCTAGCATCTTTACATGAAGTCAAAAGAGTAACACATTGCACAAGCTTCCAAAGATTTCCGGTCCACGGTTTCAGTTTTGGCATTTGGGCCATTTGAACCAGTCCTTTAGGGTTCCAAAAAGACTTCACTTCAGGTTTTTAGTTCATTATGAAACATCTCAAGGTTCCCACTGTTCAGAAGTGACGTGCTGGAAATCAGAATTTGCAGCAAGTTTTTGGTTGTCTTGGTCTTCCCTTAGTTGCATCGCACTGCTCTGTTTCACTGAGTCCTGGTTTCTTTCTGCATCCCACAATAAAATATGGCCAAACAAAAACACAGCATGGTTCTATACAATGCTTAAAAATAATCTAAGGTGAAAAAAAAATCAACATGTCATGTTGCAACTGAACTATGTATGGCCTTTAACACAGCTGCATTCGTCCATCAGCCAATGAAATATTCATGGATAACACCTTGGCATTTTAGGCAGTTGGACAGCTGGGAACCTTCTGAGGATTTTTAGGCAAAAACACCTTTGGGGGTCCATTGTTTCTCTTATTAGTGGAAGCTACATCTTTGTGTTCCCTTTTTGTTAGACTTTCAGTCTTTAGAGTTCTAATTATTTAAACAGAATCATTTTAAAACCTCTCCAGTTGCTGTAAGGAAAGAGGAAAAAGTCCATCTTATCTCTAGTAGACCCTTGCTAATGCCTGGGCAGGAGGACGTTTATGTCCACATTGAGAATGAGAATGTAACAGGACCTTGAATTGATGGTCAATTAGCATTTCAAATGGCTAGCGAGTGGACTAACTTCCCATCCTCGGCTAAATGATACCAGCAGGTCACTGATGCTGATTGCGTGCCCTCATTGAGGCTATAGGTGTGAGAACTGGAGCTGGCTTGTTTCCCGGTTTAACTGCTTGAATGGGAAATTAAAGGCAGAAATAAAGCGAGTGGTAATTAAAGAGCAGGGAGCAGGGCTGGAGAAAGAACATTTCAGGCTTTACAAACACCAGGAAGTCGTATATGAGCAGAACCTCAATCTTTGTGATTCTGTTTCCACTCAAAGTTTGATGTTTTGAGGGTCAAATGATACAAATACATATAATCTATATATTTGTTTATTTACAGGTATATTCTAGTTCATAGTGGATATCTAACAAAATGAATGAGCCAGTATGTCGGAAAATAAGTAAAAACAGAGAAAGAACTTAAATAAATGGATTTACTTAAAATCTGTGAGGGTCGTAGTACATGATCATAAAAGGTACAGTACGTCAAGTCAGGCTGATATAGCTAACAAAAGTTGAATTATGAAACTTTTGATTGATTTGATATTTCGTAGACCAAGGTGTCGTTCAACAGTTTAAAAAAAAAATATTAATGCCTACAAGGTAATGATAATAAAGAATCTCCATAAGGTTTAAAAATGGCATATCCTCATCGGCACAGGATCTACCCGGGGGTAGAAGTGAAACATGGTGAGTGGAGGCAGGGGATTCAGGCAAACAATTGACACCCCCCCCTTTCCCTCATCAAACGCACAATGTTTCTGAGATTACAAAAAACACACAAACAAAATAATAAAATGCATAATTTGAGCACTGGTATAAAAAAAGATGATGAGGAGGAAAATGTAATTAATACTAAGTGTTTGGATATATCTTTATATTCTGCATTTAAATATATATGCATGTGTGTGAGTGTGCAGTATATATACATATATGCACACGTTCACACAGACATGTTATACTTAACATTCCTACAGTGAAAAAATAGAATGTCTTTTAACGTAATATGAACAAATAAGCTTTTTTCTTTTCCTGCTAATTTAAACAAATGCAATACAACATCTCTGTTAAAAAACTAAATGAAAATAAACAAAAAAGAAAATAAAGAGTCTACTATGTAATGTAAAATAAGTCGTCATAATACAACAGTAATGTTTTCATAATGTTACATTAACAATAAGGCTTTTTTGGAAATAAGAAAAGATTACACACAGTTCTGTCCATCGCTCTGGTTTTTGTGCACCCCCATCACAAACCGCCACAGAATCCGTACACTCGTCTGTACCAAAGCACTGATTTCAAAATGATAACCTGGTGATCTCAAAAGCTTGATTTTTTTATATCAGACACATACATTAGTGCGTCATATCCAACAGGGAGTTGTTTTGGGGTTTTCATTTCAACTTTCTTTTCTTTTCTTTAGGGATGTGCAAGTAACTTGTACCGAAGAATTTCATTATCACATCATGGCATCGAGATCCAACATGGCCGCCTGGTCTGGCTGTGTCATCCACAGAGACATCGTCTATAAAACAGAGGACCAAAACCAAAGCAACTACTTTGTTTATCCACCTGTTACCAAACACACACACACACACTGGAACTAAAGGCCAATTGTTTGTCAACCACATGAACGTACAGCTGTGTAATTGCAACAAGCCTCAGCCACTCTTGAGTGTCTTGTACAATGAAATAGATGATTATAGAGGAGGCTGGGGGAAAGAAAAAGGAGAGGTGGAAAAGACCAGTGGACGATGTTGTCGTGTGGATGCGCTTTCAGGCATGGCCGCCTCGATGCTAGCGGTTAGCAGAGCTGGCATCGTTTGTTCGTCAGTTTCCTCTCCCTCAAGAGTCACACTTACAGCATACACGAGAGAAGCAGCATGTTTGGTTCTGACAGAAAAAGTTAATTCCTCATAAGACAAAAAAAGTTTGAAATATTGATGATGAGCATTGGTCACTGTACACAAAGAAAGCCCAGAATCTGTGGCAATCTTTGTTTGGTTGTTCTGTTTGTTCCAAAGCTTCTCGCCCAGCAGATTTATCTCTCGTTCAAAATGGTGGATTTGAACACTGAAGCCCCATGAGGCAATGGTTCCAAAGAGTGGAGTGATTGTAAAAAAACCATGGGACACGTTCGCCATTTCTCCCACCGTGACCCAGCCACAGTGTGTAGCAACAGCCGAGTTCTGCCCCCCCGCGTTCTCTGGTGATTGAGACACGAGCCTCCTGGGGGACTTTTAAATACACTGGGATTCTTTTGAACATCACTATGGTTACCTGGCGCGGGATACTGGTTTTACACAAATTCACAATTCATGAAACTAGCTGATTTTACAGTATTTGTTGCTGCTTACTTCCCCATACCGCCTGACAGTGCCTACTCCTAGCTCTTAAGAACACAGATATTTGATGTATTCTTTAATAGTTGAGTGTTTTTAACAGTGTATAAAAACTCATGGTTAAGTTGACCGTTGCTAAATGGGAATGTTCTCATTGCTAGTGACATTTCCACTGTTTATATTTTTTTGTCTTAACAGAGTTTTGGGAAAACCATTTGTGTTCACACAGGCAACCACAATATGTATTTTCTCTGGATGTCACTCACAAAATGTTCTGATAGAAATACTATTTTTACACCCGGGTATGTCTAAAAAAAAAAAAACGAGAAAGTCACCCCATCTTGGCTACATCCATCTGCCTTTCATAGATTTTTGCTGTTGCCTTCTTCTTCTTCTGAACTGATGCTTGGTACCGTTGAATATTTTTGAGCAGAGCAATGTCCACCAATGTTTACAATATCCTCCACATTGAAACACTTGAGGTAAGGTAAGCAGTCTGATACTTTGATCAAATCCCTCCCCACAGCTTGAGCCACAGCGCCTGGTTTTTCTTCCGATTTCCCTTTTCTTGATGATGGGCAATTTTTCCTTGATTCTTCACAAAAGGTTTCTTTAGTCGAATTGGAATTATTCTCAACTGGTTGGTTGGGCAGCCTCTTCTAAAAATCTACATTAGGATCAAGTGTGTCTGAATTAGTTATGGTGTTGTTGTCGTCTGCTGTCATCTTTTCAAATTTCAAAAGTTTCTATGGCTCAGGAGACTGTTGAGTGGGGGCGACAGGATTCTGGGGGGTAGAGATGGCTTTTACGTTGCATAGTGATCAAAGCTTCCTAAGTACTCCAGAGCTGCGTGATAGCAGAATTGGTACTCATCCTGGAGGGGAAGAACACACACGTACAAGAGAAATGCATTAGAATAAAATAGTGGTTTAAAGAGTTTGCTATGATAATGAGAGATCAGTTACTTCCTCTCACCTCAGTCTGGACCATGGCTGGCCTCTGTGTCCGGAGCATCTTCACTGTCTGGAAGATATCAACCACGCCTTCATAGCGCATTCTCTCCAGGACAATGCTGAGGGTGATGAAGACTCCAGTCCTGCCCACGCCAGCACTAGAAACATTAAAAGGCAAAGTGACTTAATAGGCATGTTGAAGATGTAAATTGGCAGCATTTTGAAACTCTATTTACACCAAGGATAAGTCAAAGTCAACTTTATCCTCAAGCTTCCAGTTTGTGTGTCCAGACAGAGAAATCGAAATACCTTTTTCCACAATAAGATAAGACTTTATGCCTTTTTCTTCTTTAAACCTTGCTAGCCAACAATCCTGCGGCAGGGCGAGCAATGGAAAGGACGCAATCTGCATGTGTGAATCCACTTTCATGTGCGACCACCTTCTCGTCGAACACACTATGAGCCTTCATGGACCCACATACGCACTCCAAATTGGGCACAACAACAACCGAGCAAACATTTTGTCTCATTAAGCCCCTCCCATGTGTCGAGAAACTCAGCCTTCTGCTGCTCTCCAGAAATACTGAGTCTTAACTCAGATCCTGAAATACTTGAGAGCTGCCTCTCTAAGCTGCTTTTCTGTGAAATGACTTCCACTTCACCAATGGAACAATAATTGATATGACAACAGATTTATTTGGGCTTCTGCCAGCCTCCGATGCTATTTTGTTGTGTGAAGAATGAAAGTGATGGCTCCTAGCAGCCACTTTTGGTGTGTGTGTTTTCGTACGGTATGCCTGCAAGTGCGTGTCTGTTAGGAGACAATCCTAGACGAACGACAAAAGATGAGTCATTGTTTAAATATAATCTAAGTGATACTGAACACAGTAGTTATTCAGTCTAATCATGCAGAACATACGGCCGCCCTTTTCACACACACACCCACCCACTTCCAACCCCCACACCGCAGGAACTCTCATCCCACCCAAAGCCTCTTCCTGGGAGTCGGTCACAGCTTGTCACATGGACTCTTAAACTCACTCAGAGCTCCTCTCTCTCTCTGTGTCTCTCCAGGAAGATCGACTCTCCAAATCTGAAGGCTTGCCGAGCCGCTGCAGACTGAGAGGATTTGGTGTCCCCATTCACAGGAAGTAATCAGGCAATTAATGACAAAAAGCATGTGGGTCTATTAGATAGTGGCTGAGGAGGGGAGTAGAGGAGGTGGAAGAACAGAGGGTGTGAGAGGAGAGCCGGGAGAAAGGAAAGATGGAGGGGAGGAGAAGAACCAGGGAGAGGATTAAAAAAAAAGACAGAGGGATGAGAGACGGGAAAGACCAGTGACAGAAGACGAAAGTAAGAGAAAAAGAAGAAATAAGCTCTGAAGATGAAAAGCCTGAAGGAGGAGGGGGGAGGAGCAGGCTATGGCAGTAACAGACAAAGAAACCAACTAAAGCATAGTTCTTTTTTTTCATCACTACTCAAGAGAAACTCATTTCCGAAATTCAATGACAAAGTGACACCTACTCATAAAAAATATACATATAAAAAAAGTACAAAATGACCACCAAGTATTTCAAATGGCTGCAGGTGACATAGGAACCTGATTAACAGCATGCCATTCTAATGATTTACTCCACTGTGGGCTGTAGACATTGTGTGGTAATCCTCTTATAGTGCTCTGAAAATCGAACAGAGTTCACGAGATGTGTGAAGGATGCCGTAACTGTGCATTTGGCAGCTGAATAAAACCTAGTCATGTGACTCTTGCAGTCATTTTGTTCCTCCAGTCCCGCAATTCTTCCTGCAATAACAAACCCTTTCTGCTTGAAAACAGGCTCTCCCCCCCTCCAGTAACTGTTAGGATTCACAGAAGGGAGGAATAACTCAAACTTATTGGAGCTTCCCTGTCACATCTCACAACTCCCAGGGGGCCTATTCATAGCTGGTGACATCAGTGCTTTTTAATACAGGGGAGGTGAGGTTATGCTTGATGATGTCATGGCGCCTTTGTGATACAAAAAGAAGAGACATAGTGACACCTGATCAGCCATCAAAGTATGCCATGTTTATGAGGCAGCAAGGAAATTATTCAGTGTGTTCACACCTTTGTCAACACGATCACATTCAAAGACACTGTTGTATCCTAAAAGATTTTTCTGAATGCCAGACGATGACAAAACCGCTGTATAATTATGAATCATACACGTACCTGCTTTTGTTCAAGGAATTATAGACATTTCCTTCTTTTCTGTAACAGTCTTGTAAAGCATACAAAAACAAGTCTATCAAAGATGTCCAACTCCAGGGAACAAAAGGTAAAAACAAATCCGGATGGATCCTACTGAAGGTCTAACATGAATAAGAGAAAGCCCCCGGTTTTGAACACTTCCAAATATGGGTTTGTACTTGAGTTAATGATAAAGGTTACCTTGGAAGCTACAGCCAATGTGATAAAAATGCATCACGGAGCTATCATAAAAATCAAACAGAATGGCTGTATCATTTCATGTGCCTACTTTTTGCAAATGCCAAGCCGCATTTCAGCCTTATCAATTATGGAGGAGCAGAGCCTGTGGAGCAGCAGAGATAGTGTACTGCGGAGGCAAAAAGGTGAGGAGGATGTGACCATGCTGTAAGAGCTGCCCCCCCCAGGAGGGGCTGCGTTGCTAAAACAATAACCATCTTAAAATGTGATTTAATCTAGTCTTGCTATTTGAAGCCTTATATATCTTTCAAGAAGGAAAGTGTGTCTGTAGGGTTTACCTTGAAGCTTACTTGTTGCAATACCTGGAAAATGGTATGTGATCAATCAAATTGATGATGTTTTCAAAAAAGTGTTATCCTTTTGTGTGTTGTCACTTTAATAAAAAGCAGAGAAACATAGCGCAACATGACAGTGAGTTTGTTACCTGCAGTGAACAGAGATTGGTCCATCCTGTCCGAACTGCTCCTTGGTTTTATGCACCTGGCCAATAAAATCAATGAATCCCTCTCCGGATTTGGGCACGCCTTGTTCCGGCCAATCAGTAAACTGGAACTGCCTTACTGTCCTGGACTGACCATCCTGCAAAAATAGAGAAAAACAATGTGAGAATAGAATACAGAGATAGATGAACAAGGAATAGGTGGCAGAGACACGAGGAACAAATATGTAAAGAAAGCTTTTTTGGGTTAAAGAGGACCTTTGTTCATGTTTTTTTACACTCTACACTCTTTGGATCATTTTATGACCATAATGCAGATTGATAATTGATAACAATTTTAAAGAATCTTTAAAAGTGTAAACTGATGATTATTTTCTCTATAAGAGTAACATAACATATGGATACATGTACAAACATCTCCCTACAAGGGGAACGTGTGTCCTCTACCTACAACCCTATTGTCCCTATATTCTCCCCTACCAAAGTGCGTGTTTGTGTGCATGTGTGTGTGTGTGGCACGAGTAGGTCCTGGTTAAAGCTAATCAATAGTGTATCTGCCATGACGAGCGTCTTCTCCCAGACATCATGTTGAATAGGATAATCCTGCGATGCGATCGATGCAGCGACCTGATTGATGGAGGTAAGAAGAACGGAGGACTACCGGAGTAGGAGGTGGGATTGGACGTTGACAATTGAAAATAAAAACCCTGACACGCTGACAAACCCGCTAGACAAAATGTCAATCTTAACAATTTAATCTAATATTGATTCTTATAATCTTGTGTTGGCAGTGCACTTGCATTTGCTTCCAATGCAAACAAACACCCTTAGATACATTTTTACAATGAGGTGGCATCACAATAGGACAAGTGAATTGATCTGCTTTATTTTGAGAGAGCTGATCTTGGAGTTTGAGAATGCACAGTCGATATTTGTGTCCTTGTAAAGAAAGTTGTTATAGAAGTAGTTTGGAGTAAATACATTTGTTACAAAAGTAAGCAAAGAGAAGCAATTTCAGAGATTTTGAGACGCGCTGCTGTCTGCTTGAAGCCACCAGCAATTAATACAACCAGGTGTTCATTTCTCCCTTTTTGCACACTACCCTATGCTTGTGTTTAGACAAGCTCTCACACATTTGCCTCTCATGTGTTCACTTTGCAAAAGGCTTCATTTGATCAATACTCATTTGGTGAGTAAACAGGAATATGTTTGTCCTTTATTTATTGTCATCCCGCTAGTAGAATTAAACAAATCTAAAATCAGCTTTAGGGGGAATTTGTCTAAATAGCAAATCAATGATATATGCAAGAATGTGAACTGTGTGAAACAGATATAACTTTGTTGGGAAAACTGAAATATGTTTCCCCTAAAGCAAATTATCAGCACTTGTTTAAGTAGTGTGATAATGATTAACAAATTACGTTTATTCACAGAGCCAGTGAATTGAGCAAAGTAACAACCAATGTGGATCTCATTCGCTACAACCTTATAGTAGTCGAAAGCTAAGCAGTGTGTAAGGGGCTAACATCTCCACAATACCTCTGATACTGGACATAGAAACACCCAAGAGAGAACCGTTTACATTTATAGTTATATTACAAGATGAAATGTTATTATAGCAGTTGTGTCTGTCTGCGCATATACAGTAGATGTTTGATCAGGTAACTATGACACAAATGGAGTGGTGTACTTCTATTATGAAAAATAATTAAATCCACTAAAGACTACATACTGCCCACACTGAAACTCAGGTTTCATAAGGTATCATTACATCTAGCTAGCTTAATGGATAATTGAGGTGAGAAATAACATCATGTCAGGATAGGAGAATAAAATGTGTCAGTAAAAGAAGGTTAAAACAATGATTAATTATTATAACCTTGTAAAACTAACAATGGCTTACCTAAAGAGTTTTCTTGATCTACATTTTCTTGAGAAAAGTAGGTGCTGATGTAAGTAGCTTAGGCTCTAGATTTATCATGCATGTTGTCACGGTGCGTTTGCCACGTTCTAATTCATTCATTTTAGCCACGAGCTAACCACCCCCCCCCCCTCTAATGTAAGCATACTGCATGCAGATGTCTACCTAATCTGTCCTTTGAGTCTTTGTGCTTCCTGTGGGAAGTCCTGCTGTCCCGCGCGGCCGTATGCACCGTGTTGCTATTTAAGCTGTTGGTGTGCAGCCAAGATGATTTTCTTGTACATTTATTGGGCTCTACAAATACAGTGATTTGGATTCTCATAAATTAATCTCCGTGTGCAGACTCTCTTTGTCCAACGTCTCGTGTCTTTCCCTGTTTTATGACGCATCGCATGTTTCTTCTCTTTCGTTGCCTTTGTTTTTGATCTCAAAAACATTTTGCCTCAGCAGGGGGATTAAAAGTGAAAAAGGGGCAAAGACAACAACACAATAAAGCAAGCATGCTAAAGAAAGAAAGAAAGAAGAAAGAAAAAAAGGGAGGAAAATTTAACACACAACCTGAAGGCTCACGCGGCGTGACAAATTATGTGATTAAATACGTGACTGGCTCGCTAGATGTGAGTGTTGAAGCGTGGAGTCTATGCTATTACTGCGCAGGCCATGGGACATACATATGCACACACACACACACACACACACACACACACACACACACACACACACACACACACACACACACACACACACACACACACAAAGTTACATAAACAGTGTTTCTTAATATTTTACTGAGACCTAACCCTCCATATACCATCTCTTTACTATCTTTGCTTTGTTTCCTTAACTCAGATGATAAGCTTTGACTGTCTGTTGGCTTTTTATCCTCCTTTAAGAATCCTCGGAATAACTTCAGCACTGGGCAGGGCATTAGGCCACATATGTGCATTTGTCAGAGTTTTAACTGTGAGCTCAATGTATGTGTCCTTGAAGTTAAGGAAATTATTTTAGGAAATACAAGGATGTGTCCGAATGTAGAAAATGGAAAAAGGTATGTTGTGAGAACTAAGCCTGTGTAAGTGTGTGTGTTTGTGTGTGAGCCTGTTAAAAGAGATATTTTGCACACTGCATAAAGTATAAAGAGAAAAGTGTGCGTGTGTTGCGGGGGTGATGGCATACCAGCTTAAACAGCATTTCTTTCTGATTTCCACAGTGAAAAGTGTGTGTCGTTTGTATTCAAATGTATGGCGTGTGTGTGTCTCTGTGTGTGTTTGTGTTGTTATGTGTGTGTGTGTGTGTGTGTGTGTATATATGTGTGTGTGTGTGTGTGTGTGTGTGCAATGATATGATATGTTTCACTTTTTACAACAGGATGACTGCTAACTAGCTGCCACAACGCACGGGAAGTCATTGAATATGTCAGCCTGTTGGCACAGAGAGAGGAAGCAGGTTTTTTTTCCTCGCTTCACTTCTGCTGCTGCTGCTTCAAACTGTCTGCCCTAATTGGATCCCAAATAAGAAATCCTGAGGTGAAAAGATTACTGCAGTAGGTTATTAGCAGTTCAGATCAAGAAAGTCAGGCTGGTTATGAACTCTCATTATTTTGTGAATGAAGTTACTTTCAACATTAAGTTATCATGATATCTTGTTTTGTGTGGGAACCCAACTAACTCATATCTGAGCCATTTTAGGGAATTTTAAGGAAATAAATATGTTCTACTCGTGATATTTATGTGACCTATTTTCCCTTAACCTGCTTTGTCTCCTACATTTCTCACACTTCAGTGAAGGGCAATTGTGGAAATGATAGCATAATTTAGTTTCCTTCTAGACTTTTGAGCCTGCTGATAAAGTTTGCCTGTGTATATTGTATGATTGTTTTTAACCAAACACTGGTCCTGAATTGAAAGTCTAAGATCGAGAATCCAAAAAGCTCCTTGGTCTTTCAAATTGAGGGACTCATAACGGAGCTTAACATTTACAAAGGATGATTATGTTTGCAGACAACAATTCAGTCAAGTGTGTTACTGTGTACATCGATAAAACCAAACAATAGACCTTTTCAAATGTTTCATGCTGTAATTACTGTGATTGTCTTTAATTTCGGATGATTTTTTCTTTTCTTTTTTTTAGTCAATTTATTGAACATGTAAATGGACTGTACTTATATAGCGCTTTATCCAGTCTTTAAGACCCCTCAAAGCGCTTTACATACTACATGTCATTCACCCATTCACACCCATTCAAACAGAGCAGTGTACCTTACTCTAGGACCTAACATTCACACACATTCACACACCGTTGGCCATGCCATCGGGAGCAACTCAGGGTTAAGTATCTTGCCCAAGGATACATCGACATGTTGACTGCATGGGCTGGGATCGAACCCACAACCTTCTGGTTGAAAGACGACCACACTCCCTCACAGCCACAGTCGCCCACGGTACACGTCCGTGGCTGTCTTGGTGAGTAACAGCTTCGCTGGGGCTTTACCGGGTCATTGGGTAAGTGTTTAAAACACCTGTCGTGGCTATGCATGAACGACTAGGGTGAGACAAGATAGTTAGTATTGGGAAGGCAGTTAGCTAGTGGGAGAGGTATTCCGAGTAAAAAATATTATATCTATTCTTTTTATATGGCACCAGGTTCAAGGAGAGTTTGACATTGACAGATTTTTTAAGTGTCCCAGTGTGGAACTGCTGGAAACAATATACTAAAGACAACTTTTAAAAATTGCAGGCATTTGAGGTTAGGACAAGGTAGACCTTCCAAAGCAGGGTCGTTAAAGACACCATAGGCTACGTACAGACCAGTTGATACTGAAAGAAGTTCTGCCAGCAGTGGCTGTCGATTGATGGTTCCGAGGAGGAGTTGGCTTGAAGGCAGCTATAAATCCAGAGCGGCAGAGAAGTGCAGGCTTTTCTTTGTTTGACTTTGGTGAAATGACATTTGAACAGAGAAAGGAATAACTGCTCCTCGCAGTACCACAAGACGGCTGACGTGCTGGAACGAGCAATCTCTTGAGGTACCGGGCTAGAGCTTGTGAACAGGAAACTGAGAGGAGCATTTAAGGTTAACCACAGTGGTGCGGGGAAGCTGAATTGCAACAAGGAGCGTTACAAGTTGGACCTCATCCAAGAGCGGTAAGCTTTCTTCTGGGTGTCCCCAGCAACTTCTGATGTCAGCTTATAACTTGAGGTTGTTCCGAAATTCGAGGAGAAGACTGTCGATTATTTTTTTGGATTTATTGAGGCGACTTTGTCCTGGTTCAAGCAGAGCGCTTGTAACACAAGTCAGAGTATCTAAAAGCCAGTATAAACCCCCCAAAGTGTTGCTGTGAAAACCACATTTCCCTTCCTAGGTTTATGGACCATTAATGCTTTTGTTTCTGTTTTTCATCTTTTCTGAGCATCGATGACAAATTATGCAAAGCCCCCGTTCCTCTGAAAGATCATCTCGTTAGCTGAAGGTTGGATCGATGTATTTATGTTCTCTTCCTGACCTCTTGGATAGTCCCTAAATCTGAGTGACGAGGATGTCTGCTTGGATTGATGTCCCTTGTAGATCTTGTTTGGTGCTTCTTCCAGGAACAAGGTCTCATTTGGGAGACATTTTGTGGAACCCACCTGAAATCTGTAATATAGTGAGTAATAAGAATTGCTTTTGAGTTATAATGTCCAAATATAATTCTTGACAGAGCGATGTCTCATATGTTGTATGTATGCTTCATAAGCAGCGGTCTATGTATTGAGAAACCACATGTTACTTCATGACAATAGGATATCATGTTCTTCGAATACAGCTTGTGACGGTGGAACTCATCAGGAATTCAATCTATACACTTGGCCTGTGTGTGCTTGAAAATTTAATTTACACGCATTACAGCATTTCTACTAATTAAATATTAGAGCCAATTAACCAATCTCTGGTGTTCAAGTTTAATAAGTTGTAGTTATTCTTGAAGGAAAAATCCTCCTTGCTACTTTTTTATTTTTGAAAGTGTGGTGCCCTTATGGGTTTGAGAATGTAATAATATTGAAATTTATATTCAACTTCCCTAATAAGGTAATATATTTATATATATAAATGTGTCATTTTCCAGACATATCGGGCGTACAGTCGTGAGGCCCCGTGTCGCTTTTGTCTTTGCTTATTTTATTGTCTGTGAGGATTATAGTTTAATTCATGTGTTTCAAATTCTTCCATCTCATTTGTTTAAATAATGTATGATGCTATGTATGGGCAGTAATGAGTTATATAGATCCCCGTCATACAGTTATGATGTATTATTGGCTCTAATATTCAGGTGTTTGTCTTCTAAATGGGACCATGTTGTATTTGCAAATTGCCTGATATCAAAATAATGCTTTTTTCTCAGGAGAGGTTATTCAGAATTATTTGGTTATCCTTATCCCAAAAGCATCATTNTCCCTCACAGCCACAGTCGCCCCACATGTCAGGAAACACATACAACAACAATAATAATAATAATAATATATATATATATATATATATATCATTTTCTTTCTTGTTTTTTCTCACTCATAATAATAATTATAACAAAGTACAAAAAAAGAAAATAATACACAAAAAAAAAAAAATTCAATAAATAAATAAATAATAATAATGATCTTAATGTGTGACTTGTTTCCACATCGCAACCTACTGAATAAACACTCATTCAAAATCCAACACTGTTAGGTATGACTTACCCTTGCGTCTGTGACCTTGAACTCTCGGAGGATGTACTGGGGCATGTTGTATTCTGCCATGGGATCGACCACGAAGTATTGGTACCTGGCAGAGCGCTCTGCGGGCCAGTACTGGTGACACTTTTCCTGTTTGAGCAATTGGGAAGAAAAACTCTGGTTAATTTAGATTTTGACAACTAATTATTGCATTTGTTACATTTCCTTTTCCTTTGACTCCTTGTATAAAAAAAGTTGAGAAATAACATAACAACAAATATTTGGAAATGATTTGTGTTATGTCCTACCCGTCCCATCTCTCTCAGTTTGGTCAACATGACTACGATAGTAGAGTTGTTCTCCCAGAGCATTCTCCAGAAGTCTTCTGTAGTCTCTGCCAGAGGGCCCTGCGTGGCGATGTATGCCTTCTGTTGCCTGAATACAGCAAAAGCATATCAAAATCATTTATGTTCAGCTTGTATAATTACTTTGTACCAATTTCTTGGAACAAAACTGATACTTAAAACATTTTTGAGTGATAGCAAACATTTTTTAGACAATTTTTTGAACATGTCAGAAACAAAACATACAACAATAATAATAATATATACGTGTATTTTTTTCTTATAATAATAATTATAACAAAGAGAAAAAAACAAACATTAAAAAAATAAATAATAATTTCAATCAAATAGTCTCTGTCATGTTCAACAGGGGCAAGAAAAAGCTTAAACAAACTTTTCTGGTCCTACCCCCTCTAGCGTACGTTTTCCTTGAAAATAAAGGATTAGGTCATCGTCATCAGCATCATGTTCGTGACTCGTGACTTGCTCGCGTTAACAAGTTATACTTTATATGTGGATCTAGAAAACAACAATAGGAATGCATTTACATTTGCAGTTTCAAGTAGGTATCTTTCATTGAAATCTAAATCATATCCTGATTTCCCTTATGTATGTTCTCTTCACAATTGTATCTTTAAGTTAAACCTCAGAGGAGCATTTTAAATGTTTGTCTTGCATTATTAAAGATGTTCCTGGCAACGGATAAAAACAGGCATGTTTCCCGCCATCCCACCCCTATTCCTACCTGTATCCATCGATGAAGCTGGAATTGATGTAGTCAGATCCTTCCAGGCCTCTGATTGGCTGAAGGCAGACGCGCGTGGTCTCATAGGGCATGATGTTCACCAGCCGATTCTTGAACTTGTTACAGGGAAGGTTGGCACTGATGAAGCGCGACGTGTGGGCTTTGGAGTTGGCCAAACGCTGGAGAGGAAAGACGGAGGATTAGATGAAGAAATGGTGGAAAGGAATTCACAGAAATAAGTGAGGTTGAAAAATACAGAAAGAAAAAAAGTGTTACATAGAAAGTGTGGCATGAAAGTTATGGAGGAGGAAGAAGATGAAAAGAAAGGTATGGTGGAGGTAGTTACAAAGAGCAAAGAAGAGACATGAAAAGAGTTGAAAGAGTAAGGAAGAGTAGGAGAAGATGATAAAAGGTGGAGAGATAAGGGAGATATGGCAGGAAGGGAAGTTAGGTTTGAGACAGATAAAGGGAGTATATCAATGACAGAAAGTAATGAATCTAATCTGCTTTGCATATAATGACACCACTTCAAAGGAACATTGTTTATTAAGTATATATTTAAGCAATTTCAAAAACGTTTTGTAACTTATGGGGTCTTGCAGTGTCAGAAAGCAACAATGAAAGATATACCACACACCCAGAGCAACAAGCCGCTGGATGAAGCCTGTATGAAACTAAAAACTCTTCTAAAAGTAGGTCACCAGTGCCTTTGATAAGAGCAGAGCTGTATGTGAGCATAAAACGTAGACTAAAAAAAGGGAACTTCAGAAACACACACACTGCATAATGATCAAAAACAAGCTGTACTGCTACATCGTCGCCGTCACATGGACCTCAGCGGGAGCTGCTGTTCAGGGGGAATAAGATCGCCACCTTTTGGCTTTAATGTCTCAATGAAGCATGCATGCGTGTGTGGGTGTGTGTGCTTGCTTGTTAGCGTTCGCCTGAAAATGGAAGACACCCTAATAAGATTGTCTAGAGGCCCTTTCAAACAGCAAACAGCTTGGCGCATCGTAGGCACCAGCAGCATCAGATGAGAGAGGAGAGATGGGTTAAATTGACCCTAATAAAAGGTAGGCAGGAGTGCAGATTTACTTCCTTGTCTCTCAATTGTCGTCCAAAGTCAAAGTGTACCTCCACATTTCTCAGTGTGTACACAGCCGAACTTACCGATTTGCTATTTCTCCCATTAGAACGTTGTCCTCTCTTTCGCTCTAAATCCCCTATAGCACCAGTATCTCCGTGTCAGTGGCCACTTGGAGTCCGTCCAGCCCTTTTTTCTCCCTGCTTCCCTTCATCCCTTGCTACCGTCCTCCCTTTGATCTGTGTTTCACAAAGGCACCTGGACAGGCTCGAGGTGGCCTGGCAGCTCTAAAGAGGCTCTCCACTACACCACCAACCACCAGAGGGTGCAGGGAACGGAGCCAAACCTGGCAACCTGTCATCTATCAGGCCAGAGAAGCACCTACTGCTGGTCACGGTTGCCAGTTCCTTATTTAAATCACAGTATATCTGCACTTGAATGGTAAGGAAGCAAAAGGGACATTTACGTTTTGGGTTTTACGTAACAACAACGGGGCAATTTGTTTTTCCTAATCCCAACCTGCCCGAGCCATAATCTTAACAAACAGTTGAACAATCAATGTTTAATGATGTTTATGATGTAGCTACAATACCTCACAACCCCTAGAAAGGAGCTTTGGAAATGTCGCTTCACAATATAAAAAAAAAAGAGAACAGTTCCTCTTCTCTTGTCTTGTTGTTTGCATTTCGATCCCAATTGAAAACTCTGCTGCTGAAGTTCATTCCTTTCCTAGGACTTTTAATAGAATCCAGTAGCCCACTTATAGCTTATACATTTGAGATATAATTAGTATGTTGCTGTATACTTTTCCTACATGTGTGTTATGTTCACTAAATTCTCCTGTGCAACAATCTTTCCCGGCAAAAAGCTGTATTATTTACACACATATGCCAGAAATCAGCAGTCTGACAACTTCACAGCAAGTCCCTGTCCTCTGTTTATTCCCCGTGCTGAACTCCTGTGAATCCCTCCAGTCGCAGCTTAACTCAGCGCGACACCGTTTCCCACCTGAGAATGACAATGCTCTACCACCCTTCCCCATAGAGCAGCATTTGGTCGAATCACTTCCTAAGTGCCAAGTTAGCATACACTCGTTCCTTTGTTAATTAGCCAAACATTCCTCCCTCCACTTTCCCTGCCATCTCCCTCCATTTATCATCATCAAGTATTAATTACAAAGCTTCCCCACCCGTCTTCACCAGACCTATCGTTTGTATCCTGAATGTAGCATGGATGCTATTAATCCCCAGTTGACTCTGTACGCCAGCTCAGCATTATCCCCGCTACAGATGGCGATGGAGATTCCATCAACGGAAAAAAAGGTAACACACCAGTACTGTTATTACTGCGGGACGGGGGGGGGAGGGGGGGGGCTGTGTTGGTGAATGGCAATGGGATGATGGATGATTTCAGAGTGAGCAAGTGTGCAATTCAAGGTCAGCAGATACTGAATGAAACACCCGAGCTGGTCTGAGTTTATACACTCATGATTAAGATCTTTAATGGAGATCTATGTAAACACTGTACCTGGCTGTTTCTCCTCACCTACTACTTTGTCATGTATTTCTCGAAGGAAGCGTACATGCTTTCTATCTCAAAACTAAACTTAATTCTATGTTGGTTCGAGCCAAATGCTTTATCTTGTGTATTCTAGATTAAACCCAATTTCTTTTCTTAAGCATATTATTCCAAATCCTCTAAAATGAACATTGGGACCCAGCATTGAAGGGCTTATATATAATAATTCAAATGGTGTGTATCTAAGTGATTAAGTCATTGAAGTGAGGCTCAAGAAAAAGAAAAAGAGATTTGCTTTCTATACCATCTGAGATCCTATTACTTTGGGAGCATGTACAGCATAAATTGACAAGTAGTTACCATGTAAATAAGGCTGTTTAATCTATATTATTCACACCTGGTGCTGACAAGAAGCTGACAACTTCAGGAGACGTGTCTTTATCTCATATTTTTGTAATCTTTACGCTTTCTGTGTTGTACAAATTGTTCACTCCTTTTTTCTTTTGTCTTTGTATGCAACAAGCGGAAAGAAACATCTAACCTGCCTCTTATGTAACTCATTACTACGTTTATCTGAGATAAACACATTTGTTATAAACTGTATCTTCACTCATCTGAAAGGCCTTTTTGTTGAATCTTTCCCTCAGTCTCCCCATTTAGATTCATAGTTTCTTGCCAGAAAACACAGAACCACTATATTTTAGTATACAAAATGAACCAAATCTAATCAAAAGTCCATTATTAAAAGCAACAAATAGGCACACCGCAAATAACGATGACAAATGAAAAAGTGTGAGGCAAAGAAAGATAACACTGGCCTAATTTTACAATCATTTTTATGTTCTGTAAGTGGATGGAGTGAAGGTTAATACAGACAGTGATCCGACATGTCTGTAATTTACATGTCAGACACCAATAATAGTTACAATAAATACACTTAATACTGAAAAAGTCATAAAACCTTGGTATTTCACTTATAGAAATGTAGTTAAAAAATAGACATAATGTTATAAAGTACATGTTTCCTGTACCTTGAACTCAAGCTCCATGCCAGTGACGTGCTCGCCGCTCTCCACCTGGGCCAGCTTCTGGATGTAGGAGTAAAGGCTCCGGGCAGCCACTTCAGTGTTGCCGCAGGCAACCGCCTCCAGCAGAGCGTCGTGAATGAAGCTGTACTGATCCTCCGTCTGCACCATGTAGTTCCGCTGCGAGCGCATCAGCGTCACATGGCCGTAAATGTCGACCGTCTTCTCGTGCTTGATACGTTCAAGCATGGCATCGATAACAATAAAGCAACCTGTCCGGCCAACACCCGCACTACAAGAGGAGGGGAAGAAATGAGAAGAAATATAAATGATAGATTTTAAAGGGTTTGTTTCATAGATTTCCACCCCTGCTTTTAGATCCAGTCCTCTGAGGTGCTTTGTGTGTAAGGTATAGCTATTATCAGTGCTTAAATATATAAAGGATTGAAAGAATTAGAGATGATGTATGTCCAGTAATGCTTGTAGATTGCTTGGGCATTGCATTTTATATAAATGAGTGGGAGAAGATAGTGAAAGCAAGAGCAGGAATACTGAAGAAACAAAAAATGACACACAGAACAACAAGAGGACAGGGAAGGAGACGGAGCAAAGCAAGCTGTCACATTTCAGTTCTATTGGGTAGTGCTTTGGACTCACTGAAGTCTTCTTATCTTGACAAAGAGGAAGGTTTCAATTTGAATAAGCCATTTGAGAAATATCACTTGTAAAGGGAGGATGGGCTAAGGAGCAAAAAGGGAGAAGCACGAAAGATGGAAAGGGATTACTGTGAGGCTTTTCACAGAGAGGGGAAAAAAATGAGGACAAAGATAGAGAGAATAAAAGCAGAGAAAAAAGGGATGCCTTAAAAGGAAAGATGATGTGACCAACGGAGGGAAGAAAGGATGTGGGATCCATTATGAAAGAGAGCATGTGTTTGTATAATGTGCGTTATGTAATATATAATAGCAGTCATGGAGGAGTTCTTCATTTTCTTTGCTCATGGACATACAAACAGGAATACCATGGGCGGGGCAAAACGGAGAAAAAACCTTCCATGTGTAGGGTTCATTTGACTTTATTGGCATTCAGCTTACCACAGGGGCACATTCAACCGTCCCAGTTGGCCACAACAAATCCAGTTACATAAAAATGTAAAAACATGTTGGATCCCAGAGCATCAAAAGAGTACATTATCCAACCAAACATTGCTACTGACCTGCAGTGAGCGATGATGGGTCCTGCGTCAGGCGGGTTGCAGGTCTTAACTCTGCGGAGGAAGGCGAGGAAGGGGGTGGGGTACTCTGGTACTCCGTGGTCAGGCCACGCCGTGAACTGGAACTGACGAACCTCCCGCTTCTCACTCGAGCCATTCTGGAAATAACAAAGCGAGGCGGGGTTGGATTTGGATTTTGGATCATTTTCTTTGTGTCACAACAAAAATAAACACAAATAAAGTGTTGCAAACATGGGCGTTACAGACATGGTTTACTGTTCAGGGCATTGTAAGGGTTATTGTACAATGAGAGCTGTAATTAACTTTATAGGTACAGCGACTCAGCCTCAATCCAGCTCATCTACTAGATGCCTGGACCGCCTGCCCTCACAGAGTCCATTTAACCCTCCTGTTGCGTTAATCCC